CTCAGCACGATCCCGTGTTCTGGCACTTCTGCATGCGGGTCACAGAGGCATGGTAGCCATGAAGAAGTGCGCAAGGAGCTACGTATGGTGGCCCGGAATGGACAAGGTGATCGAGGAAACGGTGCGACAGTGCCGTGAATGCCAAGCAACGCAAAAGAGCCCACCCAAAGCTCCTATTCCTACGTGGGACCGTCCCCAGACAGCATGGAACACGGTGCACGTTGACTTCGCGGGGCCACTACTCGGACGCACCTACTTAGTTGTTGTGGACGCATACACAAAGTGGGTGGAAGTCCGGCACGTGACACAAGCAACATCCGCGGCTGTAATCGACGTGCTCCGAAGCCTCTTTGCAACGTTCGGCATTCCCCGAAAGGTCATCTCCGACAACGGAAAAGCATTCATCTCCAACGAGATCAAGCAGTTCTATGCGTCGAACGGCATACAGGCTGCAACCTCACCAGCATATCATCCGGCAACAAACGGCCAGGCAGAACGCTATGTGGCGGAGCTGAAAAGAGCGCTGTTGAAAGATGCAGACAAGTCCATACAGTGCCGACTTGCAAGATTTCTGTATCGGCAGCACACGACAATACACACTACCACAGGTATGACACCGGCGAGAGCGATGTTCGGACGAGAATTGCTCTGCCCTCTCGATCTTCTTAAGCGGGAGACGGATAAGCGAAGTCCTGAGAGCCAGGAGGCATTGCAAAAATCACGCCGCTTCGCTATAGGGGATAGAGTGCTTATCCGGCAGTTTTTGAAAAAGCCAGATTGGATTGAAGGCGAAATACTGCGCCGCGTCGGACCACGATCCTGGCTTGTAAAAAGCGACCAAGGAAAGGTTCGGCGTCACCTCAATCACATGAGGAAAACGAGTCAGACCAGACAAACAACCCAATCGCGGACAGATTGGAGCGCAGCTGACGATCTCTTGGACGCAACGCCAGAAGAGACGCCATCGAGCTCAGCTGCTCAACCGCCTGAATCGCCCGAGATGCAAGATCACACTCCCTCGCAACCGTCGACGTCACAGGCAGTGGCCACTCGGCAACTGCGACCACCAGAGGTTAGGCGACCTCCAGACCGCTATGGAGACTTCGTCTAAGGGAGGAAGAGTGACATGTCGCCTTAGAAGACGACATTAACGAAGTGCGCGCGGGGCACTGGCGCTGTGGCACGAGCGCGAGCCTGGCGTCGAACGCTGGCCAGGAGTGACTCCAACGCCTGGGCTACGCTTTTGAACTTGTTCACGTTTCCAGTCCTTTAATAAATCGTCTACAGTCACAAGTACAGACGTAACAGATAGATAGATAGATAAATAGATAGATAGATAGATAGATAGATAGATAGATAGATAGATAGATAGATAGATAGATAGATAGATAGATAGATAGATAGATAGATAGATAGATAGATAGATAGATAGATAGATAGATAGATAGATAGATAGATAGATAGATAGATAGATAGATAGATAGATAGACAGACAGACAGACAGATAGACAGACAGACAGACAGACAGACAGACAGACAGACAGACAGACAGACAGACAGACAGACAGATAGATAGATAGATAGATAGATAGATAGATAGATAGATAGATAGATAGATAGATAGATAGATAGATAGATAGATAGATAGATAGATAGATAGATAGATAGATAGATAGATAGATAGCTAGATAGATAGATAGATAGATAGATAGATAGATATATAGATAGATAGATAGATAGATAGATAGATAGATAGATAGATAGATAGATAGATAGATAGATAGATAGATAGATAGATAGATAGATAGATAGATAGATAGATAGATAGATACCCTCAATGTCGCCGAAGTTCGCTAAGAAATGCTTAGCCTTGAAAACGATTCCGTGATTCACCAACTGCAATGATTTTTGTTGTGCAGTGACGATGTACGTTATGTGCCCAGTACACTTTATAAGCGATATGTGACCATGGGTACTTGAAGTCTTCTGCAGTACTAACTAAACATTACTAATTTTGCAAATCTTGCAAATTTGCAAATCCTTGCAAGTATGGTCCTTTCAGAAAACTATATTCAAAGTTTTTCACCAAATAAATACTTAGCATTTGAAATACAAGTCCTTTCCGTCCAGCTTTACAATTGCTGGCATATGCTTTTATAACTTTTTGGCAAAAGTGACATACTTATTACATACTAGATGTATTTGGCTCCGAAAGGAATGACTTACGTAATTTTTCTGAATCACTTGTTTGGAATGTGCTTGATGGCACATGCACATGTGTATGCAGGTGTAGTATTGAATACCACTTTTAAATGCGAAGCATTTCTTGGTGAACTTCGGCGACTTTGAGCATATCTATCTATCTATCTATCTATCTATCTATCTATCTATCTATCTATCTATCTATCTATCTATCTAACCACTTACGTTTGGATGCTCTCGTTGTCACCCCCTTAACTTGGCGTGAACCAAAATTAGCATGGGAGGGTAAGATGGTTTGGCGAATATGAAGCGCTGGTCAAGACATGAATATTGTCACAATCTCATTGCGTACATCGTCAAACACTTCCCGTCAGACAGAGCCACATACTCACGGGCGGGCATGTGTCGCTGGTAAGATGGTATGTGCCACAGGTGATTGACACTTAGTATCTACCCAGGAACGACGAGAACACACATGGGCAATTTTAACGCTTGAGCGTTAAGCAGTGCCCGACATCGGTAGCGTCGACCCTATGAAGGCATAGAATAAATTTCATTGTTAAGGAAAACCTTACATAGGCAGCGTTGGCCACCCGACGAATGCACATGATCCCAGCCGAAATTGAACCCAAACATTCTGCGTGGCAGTCAAGCATTTTACCACAGAGCTACGCTAGGTCTCGGAACTACTTTTCAAATAGTCACTAATCTTCGGGAAACGTCAATAGTGGTTGCAGTGCTGCCTACCCAATTTTATAAACATTACATATGTACTCCTTTCATACAGCCGTCACATCGGGTTAACGTCAAATGTGGTGACGTGCCATGTGCCGAAATTGATTTAGGTAGCAGTGTCAAGGGCCAGCATCTTCGCGAGCATCAGCTCTTCATCTCAGCTTCTGGTGTTGATAAAACACATTTCCAGCTGACATCGTTGTGCAAGTGAAAAACTGGCTATATAAACATCTGCAACGCTTCAACATATATCTCTGCGTGCAACATTTGTACATATATTTAGCCTCATTTCATGACGTGTCGCTCAAAAAAATGCAACACAGTCACCTTCCCTCCGCATGCTTCGCATGAAGTTGATTCTCAGGTACGTGGGATCTGCTGAATTTTTCAGGAGGGAACAACAGCGCTGTCAATGAAATAAAGAGAAGGCGATGGACGCACATGCTGTGTCTGTAATTTTCACCCCACTTTTTCTTTATATAGTGCTGGTCAATGTCGTCCTCATAAATTCATGGCTAAATCAAATCTATGCAAACGCAGCCTAATCATTGAGACACATGATCAATGTGACCCGGCTGCGGCGGCTGCATTTCCGATGGAGGCGGAAATGTTGTAGGCCCGTGTGCCCAGATTTGGGTGCACGTTAAAGAACCCCAGGTGGTCGAAATTTCTGGAGCCCTCCACTATGGCGTCTGTCATAATCATATGGTGGTTTTGGGACGTTAAACCCCACATATCAATCAATCAACATTGCCGTAACTTGCCCTAAATAATGCAGCATATTTTGGCTCTATTATGAGTCATAATATTGTTTGGCATAGATACATGCTAAAAAATGACTGATATATAAATCATGACAAAAGGAAATAACCACATTGAGGACAGTGTAGGTGCAACATTGCTTGTAACCTTGGTCTCATGTTTTATCTCTTTCCCTGTTAAAACAACCACATATACTCTGTCAATTCTTTGTTCAAAATAGCCCAATTGGTAATTAGTCACCAAATCTATACTCGTTCCTGGGACGTACTTATACTGTATAGAAGAAAGTGTTTTTCTTTGCAATGTTTCATACGGCTAAAACAGTACAGGGACAATGCATACACCCCTGCCATCAACAAAGCCAAAGAGAAAACCAGGGTATGAATATTGCTTTATTTTAAATGAACAAGATTGTGATATCCTAATACATTTGAGTGCTAGGTCTTTGGAATCCTTTGTCCTTTCTTTTTCAGCTTTAGTATTGATGGCATGCTTTTAACTTCCTGCAAGAGTGGTATACTCATTTTCTGTTTTGTGGTTTTAGAACCTATGCATACCAAAGTGAAGTTTCTGCTCCTATACTGAACACTTATATGAATAACTCCCTCATTTATTGTGTTGAGCACTTTTTCACAATGTGATTAGTAGCATGCAATGAAGGTTTACTACTGAATACATCTATTTTAGGGTTGAATCATGCAGCACTGCAGATATATTAGAGATAAGGCAACAGACACAGCATGAGTCTGCCATTTTCGTCTTAACTTTTAAATATGGTGTTGCTTGATTTCTTCCTCATAAAGAAACTACGTGGCATGATTCAGTCTTGGCAAATACACCACAGTCCCATCTTTAAGCAGACTACTCTAAAAAATTTTTGTAGAGCAGGCAGGGCTGCAAAAAAAAAAGCTTGAATAAAGCTGAAGACGCAGGATGTTTTTCCCCATTGTGTATCAGAAGATGCTCAGCATAGGCACATAATAAGAAATGACTGGAGAAAGTAGTCAAACCAAAAGAAAATATTTATACTCAGCCGGGCATTATTGCAGTATTTTGTGTTACCTTGAAAACAGTTTTTATCTGTTTCTTTGTTATTGCAACCACAAAATTTTGTATAACGTGGAAAGAGCTCCGCTAGCAATTTGTCACCTGAGTTGTTATCGCAACAGGGCTTGCTTCGTCGTACATTTACCAAGCCGCAGAAACTTTTTTTATTTGCTGTATTGCATAAAACATGGCTAGAAGTGTACATGGACTGCGCTTGCATGTGTGGCATCAACAAACCCACAGAGGAAACAGAGTTAGGAATATCAGTTTATTTGAAGGCACACAAGAATGTCACATTCTACATTGGTGCTGACAAGCAAGAGATCGATGAAACTAGCTTTTTTCATGTGCACTGCGAACAAATTACAAACTCTTCGTTGTTACAAACTCATTCAGCAAGAAGGCCAGTGATTCGTTCAACATGGTAGTCATATGAAATAAGTTGCACTGATTACAGGCTCGTTACAAGCTACTTTATAGATGTTTACTAGGAACACATGCTTTCTTAGCCCCTTTGCCATAGCAAGCATGAAGTTCTAGACAAGGCACCCAACATGGGAGGCTTTAAATGTATGAGTATTTTTGGGTGCATCAGAGACCACAGAGGACAATAAATCTATCTGCAATAGATTACAGTGTATACCATAGTATAAACAACAGTGCGCCTGCTCCTGCCCCCTGTAGCAATGTGAAGCACGATAAAAATAAGGCATATCTTTCCTATGAAGTTGAATACACGTGGTAATCAAGCTTTCAAAATTAAGACGTTGTAAGGCACTGATTTCATACATTAAGCACCCTCTTCCAAAGAAAATAATATGTACCAGAGCAAAGCGGTGCCATCTATGTGCCAGTGTGAAAAAAGACGATGTTCGTGTGGTTCGTGTTTGCCGCGTTTCTACCTGAACCAGCTCGTTGTGGCTAACACTTTGTCAATAATAATAACTCTTCGTAGGCATACTCGCTTGTTCCATTGTAACAAGTTGTACAGATGTAACTGCCGTGGCCAGTATCAAACTCCCGAACTTCGGGTCGGCAGGTAAGCACCTTAGCCCCTGATCCGCCGTGGTGGATGTAGCTTTAAGTAGTCATGTGGCTCTGTGGTAGAAAAATTGGCTACTTCACAAAATGCCTGGGTTCACTTTTGGCTTTAACTGTGATTTTTATTCTGTATGGTTTTAAAATATTTTACTCTCCGGCATTGTCACTGAAACAGGCAGCAGTTTTTGTTTTTTCATATGAGGTTTTTAAAGTTATCATGATAAGCTTTCCAATGTCTGTTTTAGCTATACTTGAGAATAAAGCCTTACTGTGGGCTTATAATCTGCGGTACACGACCAAATTTCATGGGTCATGGGTATGCACCAGATGTGTACGGGAAAAGGTTTCATGGTTTACCCGACAGGTATTTCATGTCATTCAAGCCACAACGCGTCAGTCATGTTGGTCTTACACTCATACTCTTATATGCCAGTTTTGGAACGTACTAGGAAAGGAGGTGATCACCCGAGCACCCTAACACAGGCAGCTAGATAGATGGATAGATCGCAATTGTCAAAATACCTTTATTTTGCTAAAAAATGCTTTGAAATTCAGATGGTGCACATATTTAGGAACAAAATGAAAGATCATTTGGAACGTAGTAAAAGATTGGGCATGTGAAAACCTTTTTCAGATATTAACAGTGGAGCTGTTTAAGCAGAGAATTGGTTTGCGATGGGAGAACAGAAATAACTGTGATCATGAACGGGCACATGCTCTCTTTGACCTCTTGTTCATCTTTGTCCTGCTGTGCTTCGCTCCCAGTACACATGCGCCGATACGTCCAGCATGGGATGCATTAAGACTGATGAACTAGAGAATGAGTGCAAAGAGAACGAAATGGTGGCAAAAAAAGTAAATTCTCAACGAAATAGCATTCGAATCTATGTACTGACAATCTGAAAACAACCACTCGGCTGTACAGGCACGCTAGCAGAATTTATCATAGCTTTTTAGAGTATAGTGTGCAAAGGGGTTGGAAAATAAGCGGGATTGAGGAACAGGGATGAAAGGTGGGGAGAGAGCAAGGTGTCGCGTAGAAAGAATGACGAAGCAACAGAATCAAAAAGTGAGGGAGCAAGGTGAAAAAGAAAAGAATAGATTGTATTCTAAAATTTAGAATAAAATAAATTGTAAGAAGACAGAAATAACAGATAAAAAGAAGATGCAGAAAAAACTAATAACACAAAAACAAAGAGGTTTGTTCAATATCACCTTTTTAACGCTTGGCACCACAATTTCTAATCTGCCTCAAATTTTTCTGTCACATTATTATCACGTGCGAACAACACTCGGCACTGGTTGCAGATTAAATCATAGACCTGAAACACGTGTCCCGCCGACCTTTGTTGAGTGAACAAGCCTAAACAAAACAATCTGAAGCCGATACTTTTACCCTAAATAAAAAGTCAGTTCTCTAGTTGAGGCTGAATGACGAGGCCCTGCGATCGATCGTGAGAATGGTTTCTGCAGAATAATTAATACGGATATTTCTTCTTTTGTCGCTGCTATATTAAGCCAGGCATCAAGCGAGCATGTTCAGAACTATAGCAGCTGCTTCGTACTTTGCAAGGAAGAAAGTTGTGCCACTTTGCTAAATGCCAATCGCACTTATTCCTGCCTCTTGCCCTTGATAACGTGTTCCGGTAAATTACACAGACGTCATTCATCTCAAGCTTTTGCTCCACAAGCACCCCATGCAGCCAGAACATAACAACGGAGTAAATGTTTTTTTCTATTTCCTAGTCAGCATCAATATATTAGCCATTATGAATGTCGGTATTGTCACCTCTCAAGTTTTGACGACCAATCTCTTTCAGAGCCCCACCGCGGTGGTATAGTGGCTAAGATACTCGGCTGCTGACCCGCAGGTCGCGGGATTGAATCTCGGCTGCAGTGGCTGCATTTCCGATGGAGGCGTAAATGTTCTAGGCCCGTGTGCTCAGATTTGGGTGCACGTTAAAGAACCCCAGGTGGTCGAAATTTCCGGAGCCCTCCCCTACGGCGTCTCTCATATTCGCATGGTGGTTTTGGGATGTTAAACCCCAGATATCAATCAATCAATCAAATCTCTCTCAGAAATGTCCCATATATAGGATGCGATAAAAAGGCCTTTTCAATTAAATTACTTGACGTTTTTTACCCCCTCTTCCATTTCGTAATCCTGCACCATGCTATAGCCTTTGCAAGACTAAACTTTGTAATTGTGGTTCATCAGATCAAGGGAGTTTGATACCTTTGGTTTCTTTCTAATGGTGGGCTTTCTTATAAGGTTAGTTGCGAGACGGTGCAGTGGCGTGTATTTGTTCTTCCCGCGTCCTCGTTTTTTCGCCGTGTTGATTTCAACAACCATACAGTGCATCTGCGCAGAGATTTGAAAAGAGTCAGCACAACAGCAGATAAAGCAACACCAGTGACGCGAGAGCAAGCACAGGCTTCCAACTGAAATTTTATGTAACATACGATATATAGCCCCCACCCAAAATAATACCATGTGTATGATAGGAAAACAAAATTAAGTGAAATCGCACTGAAACTAACTGTAAAGAAAAACTAAGGCGAAATAGCACATGGCGATGAATACACGTAAGCCAGTTCTTTAAGGGATGGGAACATCGAAGGTTTAATGTCACCAGCTTCCTTTAGCTGTTCACGCAGCCTCAATGAAGATCCTGGTGCTACCATAAAGGTGAGCTGCAAGAGCTTGTGTTTTTAAAACAGAGGCTTGCAACCACATTCTATACAATCAGAAGCCAGAGAACCATCTCTATGGTGTTTGCTTTTTGACAATGTTCCTGCAACCGTATATATAGGCACCCGTCTCTTTGACCCGCATAACTGAGTACACAGAACTAAGGTATGCTGTAATGGATGCCTACTGCACAGTCAGCCAAGTTTTGCCGTGCATAGCTAAGCTATGATTCAGACGTCTTTCAACAACACCAGTTCAAACACATAACTGAGATTGCTTATTCAGTGCGTTGGTAAAACAGGAAAGCTTCTAAACAAATGGTTACAGGGAAACTTGCAAAAAGTAAAATACATGGGTAGAAACATTTCTTTGGCTTCTCATAATTACAAAAAAAATTGCCAGCATCTGTTTGAAAACAAAAGTTCTTACTACTCATCCTCTTGATGGCGCCCAGAATCTTCAATACTTTTGACTGCAAAGAACTGGCTTACCTGGATTCATTGGCTAGTTCTATGTCCCCGCTCTCTGTTTTTTTTTTTGTGGTCTCTGGGATTTTATGTTTCACATCGTTTTTGTTGTTGTTTTTAGCATACGCATGTTGTTTTAATCTCGGGTGTAGGACAACATATTTGGGAGTTGTGATACATTTCAATTCGACGTCGGTGCTAATCCTCGTCTCACTTTTGTTGCTGTGTTTAGCGCAGAGTACTGAGCAGCTTGAAGAGTGGAATATCAACTAGTCCGCAGTCACATACTGCTCCATGCGCAAAAACCGTGGGGTGATAGCCGCACGCTCAAAGTCCAATGTGTTTTCATCGCTCACGCAGCCATGGAAGCGAATAGCGAGGCTTGATTGAACATGCGGGTGTCACATAGGCGCTTTCTATTAAAAGTGAAATTCTGGACCGTGATTGACTCATCTCCGCATCTAACGCAATGAAGAAACTTGAACTGGATAGCCATCAGAATTACATCGTGTGATGCCTGTATTTTGAAAGCAGAGATGGGTTTCTGAATGATGAACAGAAAAATTCAGCGGTTCCAAACGCGAACGCTACTAACTATTCACGTACACAAAGCACATTGAAACGACAAAAACACAATCACCACGTGCGGCAATGACAAGAACACCCTGCCGACCACAAACACGCAAAAAACACGTCTGATGCACCTTCATCAAAAGAAAAGCTTCCATAGGTTGCCTGAACCAGCGTTGTAAACTTTGACGAAAAGCCACACCATTCCAAAGATCCGCCCAGGTCCAAGCCAAGTTGGGTGAAAATAGTGTTTTCGTTATTTTGACCTGGTGAATATAGCTTTCCGGCACGGAGGAAAGAAAGGTAAGGAGAGGGCATGCCCAGCCGGCGCAGGGCGTAAAAATTGTGGCGGAAATTACGTCACGCACGGCCATATTCACTGGGCACAATGGCGGCGTTTTGTTATTGTTGATGTAGTGCGGTGCGGCACCGTTTAGGCGGTCCAGCGGTGGTGTGCGCGTTTTCGTGGTCCTCGCACCTAACCGTGGCGTACTGCAGGTGTTCAACAGCATCCATTCTTTGTGCCGCATTGTTACCTACGTGATTTTCCTCCGGTGGTGGTTGTAACCAGGTGTCTGAACTAGAAACCACGGAACGAGCGCGCGTATACGTACTCCGAATTTGCAGTGTCCGTCAAAATTATGCTGAAAAGCCATCATAGAAGATAACGACCGTGCTGAAGAATTTCTTCAATGAATGCCTTGCAGGTTAGTGAAAGTTATGCGGTGTTACTTCTTATGACAACGGACGATGCATGTGCGGTCCACAGACTGTAATATAATCTTGCTTTTCATGTTCCTGTACAGTTACCACATGCTTCTGCGCATTAAAGTTCCTGTTCTGCTTCGCTTATGCTCCCTCTTCTCAATGTTGTCTCGCTCTCCGCAATATTGTCTGTATTGTAGCAAAACTCGTTAAAATGTCTACACGCACCTGCACAAGGTAACTAGGTGCACGTCACTAGATGCGCGTGCTTGTGGATTCAGAAGCTGACAAAGCCATTCGAACGACCAAGTGATGTTGACCTTTTCTCATGCATTCCTTCGGCTAACTTTCCCACCTTTCGCCCTAACGCGATCCTAGTCTCGGTTCTCTATAGCTACTAGTGTGCGTGAATCACACTGGAGACGTGTTCCCACGCACTTTCGGGAGGTCTTGGCTGCTTTCATCCTAATGAAATCATGGCCTTTGGGATATCCGTAGGAACCAGTGCGCGTCGGGCAAAAGGGGGCGAAAACAAACAGGCTGGCGCAAACTCAACGGGCTGCCACGCACACAAGCTCCACCGACGCCGACTTTACTGGCATAATTACGAACCTCCGGGTTTATTGCAGGGAAGGCATTTTTTTCTTTTGTTTTGTCGTCATGTATAGCCCACAGTCTGACCGAAAATTTCATAAAGCCTAAAGAGAAGCGCAAAAGGGGAAAAAGTGATCTAAAAGAAGCTGTACAAATTTCAGTGCCTGGTTTGTCGCGCGGCAATGTCCGAAATATCATCTTTATTTTCACACAGAACACATCAATTAAAAAAAGCTTAACGTGCAACTTGCCGTGTTTATCGTTAACGCCGGCAGTGCAAGAGTACAACAGCCATACACGGAGACTTCGTCAACCGTGTCGCGGCAAGACAGCGTGTTGAAATCTGTTCCGTTGGTTTCGCATAGCACCGGCGCACGCGGCGCGCAGGCCACGTGCTTTTTGAGACAGAGAGGGGGTCGCGCCTTCTGCTTCGCATTCATATGTAAACAAGAGAGGAGAATTAGCCCAGTCCATATGGCCGACTTCCGGCTTCATCATGGCTTCATAACGAGTGACGTCAGGGCCTCTCCTTACCTTTCCTTCCTCCGTGGACGGAAATTACATCATGACGGCCATATTCACTGGGCACAACGACAGCTTTGCTATGGTTATTTGTTCCGCAGTGGAGCTGGTCTAGCAGTGAGCGGCCGTGGCTGGCGCCGGCATGTGTGCCTCCCCAGGTCTCGTGCTGAGCCGTGGCGGACAATATCTGTGCTCTGTGCCGTGTTATTGGTTACACAGTGTTCTCCTGGCAGTTACTGTACTCTTAGCAACGTTTACAAGTTCTTTTATCCTTCACGGGGTTTCAACAGCGCGTAGACGAGTGCACATTCATGTGTCGTGTGGTGGAGGACGCACATGAAGCAAATAGTGTTCAGCGAAATTGCGTTGAGCACCATATTACGAAGCGGAACGACGACGAACGCCTTGCAGGTCAGTGACGGTTGAGCAGTGCTCCTGCTTGTGACAACGGACGATGCTGTTGAGCCCAGCAAGACGCCGTGAGGACCATGTGCACGTACGTAGTTTCGTGTTGTGTGTGTACAGTAACAACTTGCATGTGCGTATTAAAACACCTTTTCTGTTCCGCTTCGTACACTCTGCACCAGCATTGCATGTAATCTCAACGTAACAGCAACCGCGTTCAAGTGTCACTTGCACTGTGCTCAAAGTCACCATGGTCGCAGAATGCTGGCGCCGGTGAGTTTCACGCGGAACACGGACACAGTGGCCGGACGCTGCGTCGGCCGCGTGGCGGAATGCAACCGTAGAAGGCACAGGACCGCTCATGTTGTCTGTACAGTTACTGAATTATTGACGTCAAAACACTCACCGTTGTCAATGCATCTAGCACGCGTTCTCCTGTAGTTGCTTCGTTGTCGGCGAGCCGTTACTGCCTATTATTACTCGGACGAAATGATTTCGCCGAAGGTGTCCCGCTGGCACAGAGTGATGAGCCCAGTTCCATTAGTTTCGGATCGTCACGACACACGCGCTGCGCAGCCCACGTGCTTTTCAAGCCGGAGAGAAAGTCGCGCCTTCTGCTTTACATTTGGATGTAAACAAGAGAGGAGAATTTGCCCAGTCAATATGGCCGACTTCCGGCTTCATCACGGCTTCACAACGAGTGACGTCAGGGCCTCTCCTACCTTTCTTTTCTCCGGGCTTTCTGGTTAGGAGGCGTTGGTCACATCAGCGGCGGCCATCATTGACGAGTCCTAGACATCGTGGCCTTCACGCAAACTCAGGCAAACCACAAAATATGTTTTCCTTTATTTCTCTGTGTTTGTGAACAACATTATTATTTTTTCTCTCCTAATCAATTACTTGCGTTGCGAGTACTGTAGGTGTGGGACACGGGACAATTGCGGTGACGTTGAGCACGTGAACGGGGAGGCAGCTGTTGTGAAAAAGTTCGGAGCGCCCGGTTAGTTGTTAAACAGCTAGAGCCGAACACGAAGGGGACCTAGTGAGAGGCTACGAGCGAAATCGAACATGTGTGTGTGTGTAAGCGGTGTAGGCGGCAGCTTCAAACAGTTGTTGAGGTTGGACAGTTAGCGGAGGCGGCTGGATGGCGGGATTAGGGTTGAACTTAGTGCTGTCGGGTGCTCGGTCCGATAGTCGGGCGGGCGATGGCTATGGAGGCTGGGAAAATCACGGGCGAGAGTGAGCTGGTGCAGTGCGAAGAATGCAAGTGCTGGGGCTACTTGAACGAGAAAGAATTCTAGAGTATGGCTGACGTGCAGAAGGCGAGCTTCGTGTGCAGGCTGTGCGAGGCACTGAAGGCGGCCGTGAAGCGCATGTAGGCTAGCATCGAGGGGCCCCAGGGGGAGA